TACTGAATGTTTTAATGTGCCAGTATTCTGTCTTCCTATATTACTGGTTGTTTTAATGTGCCAGTATTCTGTCTTCCTATATTACTGAATGTTTTAATGTGCCAGTATTCTGTCTTCCTTTATTACTGGTTGTTTTAATGTGCCAGTATTCTGTCTTCCTATATTACTGAATGTTTTAATGTGCCAGTATTCTGTCTTCCTTTATTACTGGTTGTTTTAATGTGCCAGTATTCTGTCTTCCTTTATTACTGGTTGTTTTAATGTGCCAGTATTCTGTCTTCCTTTATTACTGGGAATGTTTTAATGTGCCAGTATTCTGTCTTCCTATATTACTGAATGTTTTAATGTGCCAGTATTCTGTCTTCCTATATTACTAGTTGTTTTAATGTGCCAGTATTCTGTCTTCCTGTATTACTGAATGTTTTAATGTGCCAGTATTCTGTCTTCCTATATTACTAGTTGTTTTAATGTGCCAGTATTCTGTCTTCCTTTATTACTGGGTGGTTTTATAGAAGGGAGGTTTCTGCATCTAATTGTTAAGTATGAATGTTTAAAAATGTTGTGTGATATCCAATAAACACTTAATTTTACAAACAAGTGACAGTAATATGTCAGGTTATCTGTAAAATTAACTTATTCTTCATGTTGATTTTAAATTAGTTAATGACTTCTTGTTTTGATATAGATGAGTTTGGATGGAGGAAGAATAGGAATTGCAGGACAAGCGTTAGGAATTGGTCAGGTAATTAGGGATTTTATAGTTTTCACTAGGTGTGACTTGCAATCTAAAAGTAATAAACCCTTCTATTTTAAGATAAAAATTCCAGAATTAATCAATAAAAGTAAATTACTGAAAAGAGTTGTGAAATATATCTAATTTTATAGATCATTTCCTGACCTTAATAAGGTTACAGGGCCCGGCATGGCCAGGTGGTTAGGGCACTCGACTCGTAATCTGAGGGTCGCGGGTTCGCATCCCCGTCACACTAAACATACCAACCTCCGCCTTTGCCTGGTCCCAAGTCCAGGATGAGAAAGAGGGAGGGTTGGGCGCGGGGCTAGCAACTCCACCCCGTAAAAAACAAATATGTAGAACTAGAAATTAATCATAACATGTAGAAGGTTTTAAATATACACATCTTTTTACCTGTAACCTTATTTTATTTTTTATTCCTGTAAACTCCCAGTGGAGCATAGGGCCGCAACAACATCTTGCCAACGGAAGGTGTTGTTGGAGTTACTTGTAGCAGATGCTCACCTCAATATACAATCACACACACACACATAAAAATATATTTTTATAAATGTTAAATAAAAGTTAGTTTTTTCCTACACTTTATACGTCATTTTCAACGAGTTGGAAACAAGGACTTTATTTCATTCGTAAAACAACAAAGTTTAAGGTTGAGATCATGAAATGATCAATATCAGATACTAAAATATATCAACTACAATACCTTGGCTCTCACTCTCCTGATGAACCTGGTTACAGACTACAGCCCTATACCTTGGCTCTCACTCTCCTGATGAACCTGGTTACAGACCCTCATCCCATGATGAGCATAACTACAATGTACTCGTCTATAGTTCAAACTACTGTGATTAACAAGATTACTGAATACAGCTATGCTGCTCTACTTTTCACTCTCTACATTATTTTTATTTTTGTTCTTTAGCTTTAACTGAGAGAGAAGTTTGATCCACTACCTTTGTGAATTTTTTGCCTGCATCTTTTAGCATAGCTGCTTTCCAAGTCAACAATCTGGCACTCTGTAGTCTGGTCTCCATATCAGCCAACTTCATCTACAAGAAACATCATAAAACACAAACTGAATGTAAGTATCTTACATATAAGCACGGTATGTACATATCATGTCATAGTTTGTAAAATACAATCCATTTTCGTTGAAAAGATACACTATTACATCACAATAATATTATTAATAATTACAAATTGTCTTTCATACTAGTCCCAATACGAGTTTCCGATAAGAAGTATGTGTAAAAGTTTCAGGGAATTAATGAACAAAACATTCCACTAAATACCAGGCGATTTCTAATAGCCAGTCTTCAAAGAAATGCTATTTCTATTAGTCACATATCAGCCAAGACATTTCATACCACTCTCACAAAGAGATGAAGATTAGGTTAAAACATAGGACTCCTCAATACAAGACAAACAGGATATTATACAGACACTAAAATGTAATTCATTAAGTATTATGAATTCAAGTTTATTTACGTCTGCGGTATCTTGCATGGGGCCCAACACGTATCTCTGAAAAGACCTATTTGGATTATTTTCAGAACACTACACATCTGAAACAGAAGTGTATTACATTTCCTACGATAATTATACTCTTTTTTTGTTTTTTCTGACTGGTCTTGGTTTAAGAAAAAACAAGAACATCAAAATTTTGTTTCAAATCTACAAAAAGACACTAAAATTTTGAATATAAGGATTAATAATAGTCCAAGACATAAAACATTTTATAAATGGCTGTAAGATTGTATTCCAAATAGATGGAAAAGCAGTCTTAGTGTTAAAACATTCTTCAACATGTTTTGATAAACAATATTTTACTATTATACATATATTCATCCATTCCAAAGATCAGTTTAACCCTATTCCTGCTGGTATCAACTCTAACCTTGCATTATAAAAGTTAATATCTCGTAAATGTCATCATATCCGAGACAAAAATATTTAGAACCTACAACAAGGGACCTTTGAAAATAAAATATTTGATTTTTCTGATCAATTTATGATCTATAACAGAATAAAAGCCACTACATAACGTAGGTCTTTACCGTTATATACGGCTCCTGTAACTGTGAACTCAAAAGCCATTTTTCATACGTATCGTATAGTAGGCCTAGCAACATCATACACTAGGCTACTTTGTTGAAAGAAATGGTGAAATGAAATACATGAAAAGTAGACAGTATTTATATTTTATATGTAAAATCCGTCCATGTCTTCCTTTTACTAATTCAACTACGTCACAGTCTCTCCCAAGAGGCTTCGTATGAAGCTACTGTTCATGGATCTTCTCAAGTTGTAAAAGCGAAAGTTCTTGTTTATATAAAATTAAAGAAAACAAACTTCACGGAGAACTCATAACGTTAATTTATTACATTTCTGTGTCATACAAGGGATACAAAAACATTAATAACTTACAAGAATAGTCTTAAGGCATGTCAAAACATAGTTGGTTAAAAAAAGGGAGCCATATGGCAAATAGGTTGCAAGAAAGTTAATAATCCCAGTTTTCAGATGAGATATTCATAATTTTATTAGCTTCAGAAACTTGAATGTTTAAAAATAACATGAAGAAAATTGAATTTTACAGTTTTTGACATCACTCAACTTAAAAATTAACTTTTCAAACTATTTAAGCTAAAAATAAACACAAACTTGTGCAAAAATTACAGATTTCTGGCTTTGTTTCGTATTTTGACAATTTTTATATTCATCGACAGGAAATTTAACGATTCCCACCATCCCAATAAAAATTAACACACATGAAGGGTTGTGAATTTGCATTTTTAAGTGCAAAGCTACACAATGGGCTATCTGCACTGTGCCCATCACAGTTATCAAACCTTAATTTTTAGTGTACAAGTCCTTAAGCTTACTGTTGAGGCACTGGGGCCCCCAGTGGCACAGCGGTATGTCTGCGGACTTACAACGCTAGAATCCGGGTTATAATACCCGTGGTGGGCAGAGCACAGATAGCCCACTGTGTTGCTTTGCGCTCAGTTATAAACAAACGAGGCACTCGGTTAGTAGTTTGAATTTTGCAATTACTTTATCCAAAAGAAATATTAATAAAACAAAAATTTGAAATCACATTTCAGTCATCATACAGAACTTAAGATTGTATTTATAAACAAAACTTACCTGAATAGCCTGAAACTTCACGATTAATGAGCCAAATGCCTCACGTTTAGTAGCATAGTCTATGGCACATTCCAAAGCTGCCTAACAATGGAAAATTTAACTTAATTGCTCTGCGAACACAAATATAATTATATTTATTTCAATTTCACCACAAATAGTAGATCATCATTCTACCAGAATGGAGTTAAGAGTATTAAACAAGTCTCTATAGTATAATGAATGGTATTTTTTAAATTAAAAATGTAAATTTTATTGAAATAAGCATTATGTTTAGAATGTATAAATAGCTAATGTGTAAAGTCACTTTGTCATATTCCCTTTGAAAAGTTAATATATAGTAGCCTTTTTGGAAGGATGACGTGTTAACCTTTGTAAGGGGCAAGCACTATATTTCAGTCTTGTGGGGTTCTTAGTCTGTTGTAGTCTTTTTATGGAGTTGGTGAATTATAGTCTTATTGGGAAGCAATGTATTATACAGTCTTTTTTTAGAGAGTTGGGAAACTAGTTCTGGGAAGCTGTGTTCGAGTCTTTTTAAAGAGTTTGTGCAGTATAACATTTTGGAAGGCTAATATTTAAAGCGTACTTGTTGCTGGTATAATGTTTTTACAGAATATTATTTAATACCTTCAAACATCAAGTTTAAAATTTTGAAAGCATTTGGTAATTTAGATCCTATATCAATAGTGTAGTGATTTCTTTTTCTTACTCGAGAGGCTGTAGTCTGTAACCAGGTTCATCAAGAGAGTGAGAGCCAAGGTAGACGGGCAGTTGTCTGTAACCAGGTTCACCACGAAAGTGAGAGCCAAGGTAGTGGGGCTGTAGTCTGTAACTGTGTTATCACCAGAGTGAGTGGCAGAGTAGTATATCTGTAGCCACTAGTGATGCTGACCATGAGAGTGAGAGAAGACACTGTAGATATGATTAGTGGAAGTGTGATTTAATAAATTCATTTATAATGCAGTAATTTTTCATAATAATCTTAACTTTCGTACGATAGCATGTTGACCAGTCATGTTGACTTGTGGGATAGTGATGTCATGTTGACTTGTGTTGGGTACTGATAGTGACCCCATGTCTGACCAGTCATGTTGACTTGTGTTGGGTACTGATAGTGACCCCATGTCTGACCAG